AAAAAAAAAAAAAAAAAAAAAAAAAAACAGTCTGCTTCTCGAAGTTTTTTAATAATATCAAAGTTACTATTCGACTCATCATTTTGTATCTTTTGCATACTTGTTATATTATGTGTAAATTGAATAGCAACTGATTGTTCAGGTGTACATATAGGATTCATAAACCATCGTTGAGGTATCATATGCACTTGGAATTTAATAAGTGGGGAGACAACCAGAACGAAAAAAAAATGCTAGCAAAAAAAGACTTTAGCAATAAGTAATATACAAGAACATAAATGAGTACCATCATCTAAAACTATAATATATTGTTTATTGTAAGATGATGGAATGCTAAATAATCCAATATGCCAAATCTCATGAACAGTTTGATTGCTAACTAATTTCAACATTGCTGAAAACAAAATGCGATTTTCTTAATAATTATCTTTGATAAATCTAGACGTATATTCTGAATAACCATTCTATATATAAAAAAATAATAATAATAATTAGCAAGTTTAACTAGACTACAAAAAAAAATTAGTTTCATACCCTAATACTTACTTGATTAAGAGTTAAAAGGCTAATTTGATACGGGCAATAAAGACAAGATTGACTTATTTGAAGTCTTTGACAAGTGAGTGCTTCAAGGGTTAAATGCTTGTTCAAAGCTTCATCAATTTTAGAAAAAAATGTATTGTGAATCGTAAGTAAACTAACAGACAGGAGCTGATTTCGATATTCAGATTCACGTTGGTGTTTGGCTTCATTTTCGATCTGCTTTTCGACATTTTTTACTAATTTTATAAGCATTGTTCGTGCACCAATTTCAGCTTTTAATACACCATTAATGCTCTTAATACGTGTACTGTTCATGCCAGCACAAAAGGTTGAATATGTATAAACTAAAGCCTATACATGTCGTGATTTGTATAAATGATGCAAATACTTTTCAAGTTCAAAAAAAATATCTATTAACTGTTGCCATCTACTTTCGAAGAGTTTTTCACATTTACTATTACACGTACAATAAAATTGATCAAGAAATTTTTTATATCGATCTTGGCCAAGTTTTCGTGCAAGATGTTTGGTAAGATTCTGCTTTATATGAAATAAACAATGCTGATGTTTAGTATGAGGAAATATATTATGAATGGCAGCTGCCATTCTGGAATTACCATTAGTAAAAATAGTCTGTGGGGTAATGTTATTGTTTAAATGTTTCAAAGATTATAAAATCCATTCAAAGGTTGTTTGCGTTTCATCTTGGACAAGTACTTATACAAGCATCCTTGTTCTGTTATACGAATCCACTCCCACAAAAATATTTAGCAACATTCGATAAACATTGGTTTTACAAGTGTTATCATTTATGATTACATCATGAAACTGCTTATAAAGTCTAGACTGCTCTGGAGTTTGCCAAAAGAGGCGAGCTAAAGAGATATCAACGCCTTCGAAGTATATATTAATCTTCCAATTAGAATTTTCATACTGTTTCGAACTTAAATACTCGATCATTAAAGAAGCATCCTGGTTAATGTTAGAGGTGGAGGTTTTGTAGTGCCTTATTGCATTATAAAGGTCCCTTGAATAAAGGTTAATATCAGGAAACTTGCTAATTAAATAACATTTTTGTTGTCAGGCACCATATTCACATTTTTGTGTCATGAATTTAATTTCACTTAAAACATCTTGCGGTAATCGTCGTAATGATGATGCAAATTCCTCACGATGGGGTATAAGATCATAATTATGTTTCTTAACAAGTTTATTAATATAAACTTTTTTTTCGGTTTTTCTGAAACTAGCATTACATCACCAAGAACATTGAGCTTTCTTTGAAGAGGTTTGTCGGGCCTGAATATGATCAGCAGTATGTTTTGGTTTGGGATCTCCTGAAAATTTATATTCAAAGCATCAATGAATGACATTCCCACTTTCATTATCCATATCTCGCCGAACTTTTATTGGTTTAAACTCATTTTTTTCACATAAAGTTCAAGACTTGTTTCAAAAGAATTCCAAAAAGGAAAACTAGCACCTACAGCGATTGTCCGTACAATAATTCCTGGATCTTCAGAATCACTAGTGCCTTCAGACTTAGTATCATCAGAGTTCAATGTAGTATATAATTCATGGTTAATAAAATCACTGTGGTTAACATAAGCTGGTAGAATGGATAAGGCTTTATTTGCTTCATCAGTATCATTTTGCTCTTTTGAAAGGTAAAAGTAAGTATATGTTTTTTTGCTAATAATAGTCGCTTATATAAAACAGATAAAATCATATTTACTCACCCATCATCTTTTTTATTTGAGAATTGCTGAGCCACGTTCCTGGTAATGGGAATGCTAAACCAAAGCTTCGTATTATTAATCAATATCAGGTTTCCACTTGTCCGGATATGAAATTCTTATATATTAGTAGTGGTGGTGTTGGTGTTGATGGGGAAATGCTGAACCCAAGTCTCCTTTAGAAGATACTTTATATTGTAAATTTATTAAAAGGAATCCATACCAATGATAATGGCAGTAGGGATGCTAATCCAAAGACTTCTTGAAACACACCTTAGCTTTGTAACTTTGCTCACTAAAAAACGCTGTTTCAAGTTATATTTGTTAGTTGAAGTCATTAATATCAAATTGGTACTTGTTCAAGTTATTTGTAATATTTAAAGAAATCCGCCCAGATGATGATGATAAGAATGCTAATCTAAAGACTCTTTGAAACACACCTTGGTTTCGTAACTTCACTCACTAAAAAAACATCCATTTTAAGTTGTGTTTATTAAATAAAGTCATTAATATCAGATTGGTACTTGTTCAAGTTATTTGTAATTATATAACAAATATAACGATTAAGAATACCTTTATTAAGAAAAGATCATTTAACTACTAATCGTGTTCTGATTGGCCATTAGTAAACTATATATATACTATCGATATCATGTGACCGGAGATATCGCCACTGGCGATAAATACCAAAATTTTATTATAATTAATATTTTAGGTTAAAAATCAACACAAATATTGAGAAAATTCAGCAATTGCAATTTATAGAATAACCAAAACCCCCAAAGATAGTAACTACATGATGGTTATTAAAAAGTAGTATAATTATCAAAACAAATAAATAAGGTGTTTATAATGAATTTTTTATAAACGCCAGTATCATAGTATATATAGAACTTAAATTTCAATATATTGAACTTTACAATATCCAGATAACTTATTCCTAATGATACTTTTGAATCAACATAAATCTAAAGTCAGGTTTAATGACAGCCATGCTATTAAAAATTTTTGTGTGATATAAAATTTTATCTGATATATAATTTAATATGAATTATTTAAAGTATCTTGAAATTTTATTAATAAATTTAATAATTTCAAAATAATATTATTTTAATTGAAATTTAATTTTAAAGTTAGATACTTGTAATTAATAATAATATATTAATATCAATGCATAGTAAAAGGTTGAAACTGGTTAAGTGTTATCCAGATAACTTATAAATAAATTTAATATATTATAAAATTTATTAATGGAATAAAATTGTCTAGATAAAATTATCTATTAGAATTATCAATCTTTCATCATCCTTTTCAATTCCATAACAATATCTAACATTGTATATCCTAGCATTTTACTGTATATTTTATAGACTTGTGATAATAAATGAACATCTTATAATAATCTTTTTCAATTTTGATAGCAGTTACTAAAGATAAATATTCTATTAATATATATAAATATATAAGTTACTGGTATATAATTTAAATACAGGCAAAAAAGTTTAACTTTATGATAATTACATTGACCTTGCCAACCATACCATATACCATCTTAACAGGTTCAAATTTGGGTCTAATGATATATCGAATACATTTCCTAATGTAAAATATAAGTATTTGTCAAATATTCGGCAACAATAAATGATGCGACAAACCATATTTACCAGTTTCCCTTTGCTTCAATCTTAATTCTATCTTAATAACAATTACAACCACATTTTTTTCTATTTATTTATTTTTAACGAATTCATTATAATAAGTGAAGGCTTTAGATTTATTTTTTAAAAATTACCTATCGGTGAACTTTAAAAAGAAATAATATTTATAGGTAGTTTAGTTTCTTTTTATTTAATATTTGGTGCAACAAAAATATCTATATGGCTAATTTTTCTTTAATTGATTATATTGACTATATTAATTGCTAATTATATAATTTAATACTTATGTTTGTTAGAATCAAAATATTAAATAATCAAATTTATTAATCATAAATATATTTATCTTGGTGATCTATTTATTAAGTTGTTAGAAAGATACACAAAGTAATATAAATCTATAGCTTCTTTGAGAAGAGCTTATATTATTCAAAGAATTCTTGCTTGAATTAATATTATGAACTTGTGATAAACTTAATGCTTGTGAAGTAACAAGGTTCATTGGGATTACTACAGGTCTTATAAATCAAAAAAAAATGTAAATTAGTTCTAAGGAATTATGTTAATAAAAATCTAAATCTTTCAATTTTTACAAATTTACAGATAGCGGTTCCACATTGGAAAATATGATTGTTCTCTTTTAACTCTGATTGCAACCAACCAAAGGTAACTTGGTAAGAATCCTCATTATCCATAAATAAAACATATCCTTTAGTTTTTAATTTCAAATCTTGTCAAATGTTCTAATAGTTATAATTGACCAATAATTTTAACCTTTGTTCATCAGCTTCACCCTGAAATAAACAAAAATACATTCATTGCACAGGGCTATATCAGAAAGAAGGCTCATTCTTAAAAAGATAAACAAATATATTTTCTGAAAAAGTGTTAATAGAAACTTGTTTTGTGCCGATTGAATATCTGTTAAAGCCAAGACGTTTTTTAATGAGAACTATAAACGCATTTAGATAAAATATGATTTGCTTAAGAGAAGATTGAGTAAGTAAATAACAGTGAGTATAATTTTGTTATTTCAATGCTTAATTCTTTCATGAATTACAAGTTCTTTTCAAGTAGAAAAGAGTTTTTGACAAAGTTGGTATTTACTAGTCATTGAAAAGTCCATTAGATACATATGTACATACAGTATATACTATAAAATTTTTTATTATGATCATTAAAAATTTTTTATTAGTTATCTATTTTTAGACATCACAAATATCACGTTCAAATTCATATGACATATTCAAATTGTAAAAATCTGACTATATGAAAATTGGGTTCTCAAATTTGATTGTTATTAAAAATAGAAATTTTTGTATAATTATTGTGAAAATAGCAATTTTTATTGTAGAATAGCAATCCCTTATAAAGGAAAAAAATAAAAAAACCAAGTTCAACTAGACAAAGTAGTTTTTAAGATAGTTTCAAAATATTGTTAGCAGTTCACAGAAATCAAGGCATATCATTACTGTGTTGTCTCAGTAGCTTTACTTATTTGTGTTAGTAATACAACATAAAAAAAGAAATTTAATTTGTAAAGTGCATAAAAACACAAATAAACTATTGCTTATTATATATAAAATTTCATTCCTGATATTTTTAATTAGTGAATTTAGGTCAATTTAAATACTAGTTTTTGAGTATTTTCGCTTTTTCTTCTTTTGCATATATTCAGAATTTATGTTAGACTGATCTGGTATGATCAAAATTTGAATTCATTAATTGGTTATTTCCTTTTTAGAAGTTTGTATTATTAGCACAAATAAGTAAAGCCTTGTCTCTTATCTCAGTTACCTGTTTTGCCTACCCATCTGCATAATGTCTTCTACATTAGGTAACTGTCTGCATATTTGCTTACTAGTTTATAAAATAAATGAATGATATAAATATTTGCATTGTGAAATCAATAATACTGATTGTT